TATAGAGCTGCTAAAGGGCATTCCAGAGTGAAGGCTGTCAGTCCGTGTGATCTTCCCCAGTTTGCGCTGTTGGACTGTGAGAGCTCGATGCCATCTCTGTCTCACAGCTTGTCCTGAAGCAGACAGGGATTTACACGGCTTAGTCATATCGCCTCCCAAAAGACACCGCATCAAAGTCAGCCCCCCAAAAAACACAACTTAAAACCTCATCAAAAGATTTTCAGGGCTTTTTTCCCGCATTTGTCTCATTTTGACAACTATATTTATATCTACCTTTACTGATAAAAATTATTATTGGGTAAAGCATTTTAAATAGCAAACAGTTTTATGATAAAGAGATATTACTAAGTACATGCACAAACCAAATGCCAATGTCAACGGTTTTAGAGACCATCAAAACATTGGGTAGAGAGACAGTATTCATATTTAGAAACTTAAAATTAATTTATAGGACAATTCTGCTCTTTTCAGGTTTGAACACCTAAGATGACCTTCAGTAAAGGTCAAGTACAGTCCAGGGCTTCAGGGTTTAAATTCTTGACTCCAGGTCCAATGAGAAGGCTACACCAAATAAAATGCCATTTGCAATAAATATTACTTCCATAATATGAAGAATTTCTGAGTTCAACATTTTTTTTTCTTTTTTAAATGTTGGGCAGGGGTTGATTTTATCCGTTTACAACGTACACCACCATTCAAAAGTTTGCGGTCAACAAGACGTTTTTTTTTTTAAAGAAATTAATACTTTAATTCAGCAAGGATGTATTAAATTGATCAAAAGTGACAGTAAAGACAATGTTTCAAAAGATTTATATTTCGAATAATACTGTTCTTGTGAACGTTCTATTTATCAAAGAATACTGAAAACATTGATAATAAGAAGAAATGTTTCTTGAACAGCAAATCAGAATATTAGAATGATTTCTGAAGGATCATGTGACACTGAAGGCTGGAGTAATGATACTGAATTTTTTAAAATTATATTAAAATAGAAAACAGATATTATAAAAATATCTCACAAACCACAATATTACTGTTTTTACAATTTTTTAAAATCAAATTCAGTCTTGGTGAGCACAAGACTTCTTTTCAAAACATTACAAATAATCTTACCAACCCCAGAATTTTCAGTAGCGTATATTTTTCTTCCACTGCATCAGATTCACCTTCAACAGATTTTTGGTGACATGGCTGAAACCTGAATACTGTCTCTGCTCCATGTCACATTGTATTTCATCTATTGGCATTCATTCACCGTTATGAAACCAAATTGATTTAAAGGTGTATGGTGGCGGTCTATTTGTATTTTGGATCAAAGTACATTAATACATTGCGCAATTACTACCTTACTTTTTTTCACAGTTCACACTGGAATCAAAGATGTATTCAGGGGAGTAGAGGTGAGATATCATTAGGCAAGTCTATAAAGAGAGATAGATGGGCATTTATTTGTAATTCAGGATATCACACTCTCTCTCACACACATTACACAATCTTACACTTTAGTCAGGCACAGACAATAAAAGCAGGGTTTCTGAGTAGCCATATGACAACAAGTTCAATTCACACACATTTTTTTAGCTTAAAAGCTTCAGTCCTCTTTCATGACTCTACATGGATAGAAGCAATTTTCAAAATTTCTCCCTTTGTGCTCATTAGAATGATATGCATACGGGTTGGAAAATGCATACAGATGAATAAACTATGACATATTTTTATTTTTGTTGAACTAATTCTTAAATACCTACAAAAAAAAAAAAAAAGCTCGTCAACTTCCGGTCGTCCACCCACCTTCTTATAAGGAGCTTCCAGCATGGCCTCAACGTCGAAGTCATCCGCCATTCTGACCTGCTGAATATCAAAAGAGCAACATACATTTTACAAACAGCCAACCTGATGAGTTATAGTTTGCGGTTCCGTTTAAGCACTCATTCATCGACAGAGCAAAAAACAAAACAAAAAACATCTTACAGTCGAGCTGTGCTGCTGCTCGATTTTGCGGTAAACGCTCTCCAGACAACAACAGCATTACATAAGCATTACGTTAATTTAGACGCCACGCTCGTATCCATATATGACAGAATACTGTAATTTATGATATATTTCCATTTAATTTTGAGCCTAACTCCTAATTAGACCAATAGCTGCTTGTTGGCAAAAAATTACCTGGTTTTATTTAGCACTCCGGTTACCGTCGCGACCTCTTCGACGCGCGTGTGAAGTTTGACAGTAAACACAGCTGCGAGGCAAACGGTCCGATCCGCCTATAGACGAGCAAAACATACAACGAATAATCATTCAAGAAAAACAAATACCGATGTATGTATCTGTGGATATTTATTAAGCTCAGTTCAGTTTGTCATGAGGTTTCCCTCACAAAACAACTTCCTGCTTTACCCAAAATGGACGCTGCGAGGGGCAGGGTTTCCTATCGTTTCGTAATGTAAGTTAGATAAAAGTCGAGGAAAGGAGAATTTTGAGTTTCTGTTCTTGTTCTTCCTGTGTGGTTATTCTTGCAGAATCTGCAATGCTTTTGTTTCTTTAAATACCACCCTTAATAGACCTGCTCTGTTTATTGCACAATTCCCACATGCATTGCAGAAACGAGTTTAGCGCTTTGTAAACAAGGGCGGAGTCGTCAAAAGGCTAGAAAGATTATATCTAGAAAGGCTCGAATTAAAATTTAATTTAGGCTACATGAATATTAAATGTAATGTATACAATTATAAAGTAATATGTATGTAAATTAAAATATAATATTATCTGCATCTATATTAGCTATATAATGTATAATATGCAGTTTTATATTAATGATAATTACTTAATTTGAGAAAGTGTTTATATATGTATTTTAACTCAAATAAATTTGATTCAAACGCATAATATTAATGTTTTAATTGTTGATATTATTGTAGGGTATAGTTTTCTTCTCATTCTAATGACAGTTCTTCACACGTCTTTACAGCTGTCTGAAACAATTGTCCAAAGCAAAATTTAGGGATATTATTTTTAATAAAATAATTGTTATTAAAATATGTTGGCAAAATAGACACCCATATCTTTAAATAATGTTCATTACATGGTTTAAAGATTAAAAATATTTTTTATTTGATAATTATTGCTTTAATTTCCCAGACCTCACAGCCATGATAAAGTCTTGTAGCCTACTAGCTACCTGTTTTAAGAGTTAGCATCTCTTTCACTTTTAATTCAATATGTCACTTGTTGTTTAGTTACTTGTAATTATTTGTGATATTTCTGAGTGAAAATGGTTTGAAAATTGGTTCAGTGCAGTGGTTCAGAAATGTAATAGATATAGTTTATGTAAATATATTCAATTACAAATATCCAAAACAACAACAAAATTCACTTTTGTAGGTCAAAGTCTTTTTTCTTTTTTTTTTAAGATATATTTTTTGTCCATGATAGGACCAGTGGTGTAGTCTACGTGATACGCAGGTATACGCCGTATACCCACTAGGAAAGGTGAAGGATTTCCGTATACCCACTTAAAATGCATGGATTCGCCACAGGAGGCCTTTATTCACCCCCTGGAGCTGTGTGAGGGACGTTTTATTACGGATGAGGGGCCAGGACAATTTTTAATATAACTCCGACTGGATTCGTCTGAAAGAAGAAAGTCACATACACCTAGGATGCTTTGAGGGTGAGTAAAACACAGGCTAATTTTCATTTTTGGGTGAACTAACCCTTTAAGTAATAGCATTACATTACAAAAGACTGTCACATTATTTAACTGGATGCATTTATAGCCCGACTTAATAATACAATAATATTCAAACCATGGTTATACATTTTACAGTATATGCATGCAATAAAACTCTGTGTATATATGCTTGCTTATATATATATGCTTTTAGATATGTGCATATCTAGGCCTATCTGTCTAAACAGACATGACCCCAAGAAATACAATCCACCTGTTAATTTATAACTTTTCATAAGATAACTTTCATCACCTGTAAATGCACTGTAGTTCATATTTCACAGTTTTTGAACTGTTAATGGTTCAACTTTAGTCCTGTTTATCTTTTGTTTAGAGAGGGAGGTGTCCACTGTTACTCTATGTGAATCTGGCTGTGCTCACAATACTCAGATATCATTTATCCTCCATTTGTAACATTGTGAAAAAGAAGTGCACTTCTTTGTATTGAGTGTACTTCAAATTTTAAAGTATGTTAAACAAAAAAGTTAATGGAAGATAAAATAATATGACTGAAATAAAAGATCACTTAAGTATACTTAAAGAGAGACACTTCCATGACTGTTTCTTAACACACTTAAGTCACTTTTAATAAGTGCATTTTGTAATAATGTTAAATTCAGCATTTTACCTTAAGCACATTTTATATCATTGTTTTGTTAATCTTTTATCACTTTTTAAAGAAGTACACTTATTTGGATATGTTTACTAACAAACTAAAGTACATGTAAAGTACTGGGTTATGATTTCAAATGTACTACTTTGATATTACATTTAAAGTATTTTAAATGTACTAAATTGCAACATTATCATTACAATTCTGTCTATGACTTACAAGTTTCAATAGAAATTACATTAAAATAATTTCCTTATCACAAATTCTTGTCAGTACATATTTAGCCACATTTCAACAGAAGTAATTATGAAGCTACATATAAAGTTGTAAGTGAGTCAAAACACTCTTAAGTTCAACTAACTGTATTTAAACTAAATTGAAACTATAATACATTTGAATATAATTGCAAACATTATGTTAAGTTCACATATTATTTCCATAATAATTACTTTTTATATATATATTTTTATATATATATATATTATATATATATAAATGAAAATGGATTATATAAAATATTCTACAAATACAACATTTTATCAAAATCATACACTTTTTATATTTTGATACACAGTATACAAACCTAATCCCATTAAATATTAAAATAAACTATTTTTTGGGTAAATACAATCACAGTAAGCAAGTTACACAGTACTCAGTTCTGAAGTTCACAGCAGTCCTACATTAACATTTATTTCTCTTAACGCACAGTCTTTTTCATTCTTCAGTCAGCATCAGTTTTGTTTGTGTCTCTGAGAACATAGGACCATAGGCTACGTCCTGTGGACCATTTACGCAGTTGTAATCTGGAGGAACATTAAAGAAAAGCTCATCATCAAAGCATTTGTCATTGCTGGGGGAAGCCAGATACGGTAACTTGAGTACCACACCAGTCAACAAACCCCCGACTGCCGCCACCGCAATAGTCCCGAACACGGCAGCCACCTGAAAGAGGGCTTGTTCCCGTGCGGTCCGACCCAAACCCGCTTCCAGATCTGGGATCAATTCCTGCAACTCCGCTAGCAGAGGGTCTCCCTCTGGAGGGGCCCGATGAGAGAAGGTCTGGTAGAGACTGGGGCCGTACGTTTCCTCGGTCGCCAGCAGGATGGCGCAGATTCCCGCTAGGCTGGAAATGAGTCCCGTTAGGCCGTGCAGGTTGTGTATGCCGCACTGATCCTGCAACCGCAGCCGGCGCGCCAAGAACGGGCTCAAGTATTTATACCCCAGCATGCACACAATGCATCCCAGGATGCCCAGCACATAAGCAGCAGCCGGCGAAATCATCATGTCCACTGAAGCACCGACCGTTACGCCACCAGCCAGTGTTACGTTCTGTACATCGGCCATGCTGATCTTGCCGTTCTTGCTGAGCATGCTGGACAGGGCGAAGGCGGTGATTGTGGAGGCACTGAGACCTATGAACGTGTGGAGAACGGCTCTGTGCTGGTCGTCACCCTTGAAGGTCAGCGCTGAGTTGAAAGAGGGCCAGAACACCCAGAGGAACAGGGTTCCCATTACTGATAGCAGATCCGATTGGTAACTTGTCGACTCTTTTGGGTGTCCCTCGTTTAGGCTGGGCCTGTACAGGACAAAGGTGACACCCAGTCCGAAGTAGCAGGCAAAAATGTGGATGAGGATCGAGCCACCGGCATCGTTGATCTTTAGGTATTTCACTACAGCCCATTCTGTGACACCAAACACAGGGATCTCCAGCAAGGCCATGATCTGCACAATACACAATATGTAGAATGAGGATGTGTGATGTGTAAATTTACATGCATTCAGCAGGTGCATTTATCCAAGCCTTTTATAACTTACAAATGAGGTATACTACTAATAAAGTGATTGATCTTGATGATGTAAATGTACTCACAAATGCATGATAGTCACACAGTTGAGCCATCATAGAACTTAGTGTGCTGCCTACGTAGGTAGCATTTTAAGGCTTCAGACGTTACAAGAAGTGTGCGTCTTAATTATTTTGTTTCTTAGGATGCATAATTTAACCAAATTCAAAGGCAGCACTGCTTGTATTGACTGTGAAGAATGCAATCTCTCAGACCATATTGTGCCAAGCTTAGTGAAAATAAATAAATGTGCATTTCAATCTATAGTGAGAAATCTCAATGAAATAGTAAAAGTAGTGTAATTAAAATGCATTGTTTTACCCAACATTTGTGTATTTTTATGTTAGGACATTTTTTTAATCAGCTAAGACAAGGCTGCTCTGTGTCTGTTCAAAATTCTGTGTAAAGACACAATGCAGCATAACAGTCAGACTAAATTATTCCTGCTCTGATGCACACCAGCCGCTAGTATGCAGTACGAATTGCTGTGTAAATCCATTTATGCCACCTCTGAGCAGCATTAAATGGAAGGGCTTCTGTTCCACCTTTGCGGTGTCAATTTGGCATTAGAGAATCATGCTGTTTGATTACCCTTGTGAAAATTTGCACTTAATTGTATTAAATGTGCACTTATAGCCTAGTGCACTTCGCATCTTGAAAGTATATATTTTTAAGCAAATTATATATGAAATAAAAGACTTATTATATAGTAAATATATAGTATATTTTAATTTACCATAAATGCTTTTTAAAGATATTTGAAAATAACATTTTTCAAATACAATAGAAATAATCATAAAATTACATATAAAAGTGGGTCAAAACTCTAAAGTGCAGCTAATTGCATTTAAATTCAAACTATAATAATGCTCATGGAATTGCAATTAACATTCGATTAATAACGAGCTCCGGTTGGGATGCTGTCTTAGAAGGAAGATGCTTTTGGCAGTAGGTAGTGAATTTAAGATATAAACTTTTTATTGAGTTTATAGAAACATACAAAAGATTTCATGACAGTCTTGCATTGCTTAAGAGAAAACATTGGTGCATGGCAGATCTTCATCTCACACATACAGTATAACAGGTGAAGTCGTTATCTCTTACTTTTTGTGAAAGAATATAGATAACAGATTGTTGTTAATGTTCAACACATCTTTCCACTGTACCTTTTCAGTGCTGCAGTCATTTGACAATGGAAAATAAGGCAAAGCATCTTTTGTAAATTCAATATCTAATTTCAAGCCACCTGCTGCAAAAATAATACACTTACCAGGAGTTGCACAGGGCTCGTCTTTCCCAACACTGCTCCAAAAGAGATGAGCACGACAGCACAGGCAAACTCAGCATGGATCAGATTCAGCACACCAAGATGAATCTTCCCATCATAGTAAAACTGAAAGAAGCCCTGCACCAGAATGGCCCACTGAATGGTAAATGTGGCGATTAGGAAATTAAACACCATTCCACCAAAACCATAGCGCCGGAAAAAGGCCAGGAGGCAGCCGAATCCGAGAAATATCATCACCTGAATGTCAGCAAAAAATGGATAGTTCTGATACAAAGAGTTCTCCATTGGCCGCGTCTGATTGTTCTGTACAAGTGCATTAGCATCATCTTCGTATGTCACAAAGACTGCATAGAGAACCACAATCATGACCTCCAATGCAAAAATTAGCGCAGGGAGCCGCACACGCAGATTGGTAGATTTATTCTTCATTTTGACTGTAACTGAGCGCACAGCCAGCAGCCCTGCCTCGCTCTCTCTTCCTGTGACACTTATTTATTTTATCTAGTGTAGTTTGATAAGCAGAATGCTGGCCATTGGCTAAACCACGAAGTTACATCATCCACATGCTGCTTTAAGCAAAGGGGAAGCCAACTGCACTTTGTCCTTAGTAATAACCATTCCCAGGATTTTAAATTGCTCAGCAGTTTTTCCAGCTTCAACAAAGTGTAATGTATAGACTCAGTGTAAATCATATCACAAAAGAGTGATAGATAGGAAGATAAAGGCAGAAAAAAACTCATTAACATGTTTATTGCAAAGATCAATGGCACAATCAGTTAATACAGTCATGATAGAAGCTCACTGCTGAGTTCAGAGCAATGCACTTTCAAAAGGAGTTCACATTATTGTTTCCTAATAGTGCTGATAACACAGTACAAAACGATCCGCTCATTTGCATTTAAATATGCAAAAGTGAATCTTTTAGAAAGCTAGTGAGATTTCTTTCGAAAGATGTTAATGATGATGAATTCATGAGAGTAAAAGGAAAATCCAATCAGTTTATAAGCGTTTTAAATCTTGTTGAACTTTAAGGAAAATATTGTAGAAGCTTTCAGCTGTATGATTATATATGTTAACTGTTGGATGATCTATACAGACAGATTGACAAACAGACAGATAGATAAAAAAAAGTAATATATTTAAATGATTTCATACTAAGTCTATTCAAATCTATTAAAATATTTACTGACGCATCGCTCAAGACTTACTGATATAAAAATTATAATTAAACTTTATTTGGAGTACTACTTGTGCACAATGCACATTTCTTAATATTAAGCCTAAAATGTGTTTTAATGTCAGTTTTGATGAGGATTGTATGATCTTTGAATAATGTCAGTCTTTAAATGCAAGATATTTAAAGTGTAAATTATACTTGCAGTGGTTCATCTTTAGCACAATCATTCAGTATATCTTTAGTTGGACTTCAGCCATACTTCCACCAATTAAAGTGCATTAAATACAAAATTAGTTGTTCCAATTTAGCAGACTTACACCAGTTTAGTACGCTAAAAGTACAATTGCAGGGTATTTTTATTAAGTACATAAATATATAAATGTATTTGTAGTATACTTAGCATGAAATAAATGTATTTAAAATGCATATTACTATATTTATTTTTCACTAGAGTAGACAGATAGACAGACAAACAGAAAGAGACAGACAGATCTACAGACTCATAGACGAGCATATATACAGAACAACAGAAAGACAGACAGATTGACCGTTCGACAGAGAGACAGACAGACAGATAGACAGAGTGTGCTCTTTTATTGCAGTTGCTCTGATATTTTCTTCTGCTGAATTTTTTTATGCACACTATGAACTGTTGTTTGGAAGTTTATGCTGACCTATCAGAACAAACTTAGTCTGAAGAGCAGATTGTGTATGTAAATGCAACAAGTCCTTGAGACTCTGTTTATGGAACACATTGTTCTAAACACGTTGGTCTATGTTCTCTATGCTCTTTTCACAGACTGTTATGACGCACTTCAACAGTTATTCACATCGTAAATGTAGCAATTTTTTTATACTTTCATTTTTAAAAAATGTACATTTAGAATGCTTTGTATTTTCATGCAGAAAACCGGTTGCCACATTAGTGTTTCTAATGGTGTTTCCGACTGCAAATTTGACATATCTCTTCTGACCAGCATCATCAATCTCGCTGTATTTTTTTTTTCACTTTTAGAAAGTCATAGATACACTATAATGGATTTTTTTTTCTTTCTTTTGCTATTAGGGGAAATGCGAACTCAAAATGTATAGTCTCTGTTCACCACTACAGACATTTTCCAAACTATGACAACTTCTGCTTCAGTTCAGTTCAACCTTGTTTTTACATTTGCTTTTTCTCAAGCAACTGAGATTGCATTCAAGGTATAGACTACATTCCTATTATTATTTTTGATCAGTCTGTGCATTCCCCTGACCTTGGCTAACGCTATGCTTTAATGTTTGAGCTATATGAACACACTGAGAAGAACTAAAGGATGGCAAACACCATGATAATGATAAAACTGAACACAGTATGCTTTATTATAGCCATTCTATAAGGTAAAAAATGCGTGAGACTATGCATGTACTAAAAACTTTTATCTTGACTTTCGTATTTGTCTTAACCTCATATCATAAAAAGTCAACTGAACAAGCACATTACAGGTACATTTGTTTAAACATATTAACTCTTTGAATTCACCCACTGAGTGTAAATAGCCAACCCTGTTGGCAAAGGCTATTTTCACTATCTCAACCCAAGATATTTTGCGTTCAACACAAACATCATAATACTATATTTGCATTTTGTGTAAGTTGCACCCATCACTATTTGCATTTAAATGTAAATAGCATTTTTTACTTAGTCTAAATATACTTGGATTGAATTCTGAATGAAACGTTTGAATACAAATATTGTTACTGTGAGGAAAATTCTCACCATGACTATGCAAAAACTCCATATTTTACTGTATATTAGAACAAACGACCACTGACTGCTTTCGCTTACAAATGAAAACACAAAAAATTGTTGTAATAAATGACTTGAACTTTATTGCATTTTGTGCAGACAAGTCTATAAAATGGTCCAGAGAAAGTTCAACACAAACATCATACTTGTATTTGCATTTTGTGTAAGTTGCACCCATCACTATTTGCATTTAAATGTAAATAGCATTTTTTACTTAGTCTAAATATACTTGGATTGAATTCTGAATGAAACGTTTGAATACAAATATTGTTACTGTGAGGAAAATTCTCACCATGACTATGCAAAAACTCCATATTTTACTGTATATTAGAACAAACGACCACTGACTGCTTTCGCTTACAAATGAAAACACAAAAAATTGTTGTAATAAATGACTTGAACTTTATTGCATTTTGTGCAGACAAGTCTATAAAATGGTCCAGAGAAACCATTATTCATAGAACATAGAAGCTTTTGACAAGATAAAACAATAATTTAAGATATCTAGTTTAAATATATTGTCGTATAACACAATTGAGACACAATTTTCTATTTATTTTTAAAATATTAAACTTGCATGGACACACAAATTAAACAGCTAGGTTAAGATAACTATAATGTGTCATATATTTACAAAAGTAACTGCCACGGTTTAACCCCTCTTTTTCCAACAGAGTGATACGTCACACAGTCATATACATGAAGAAACAGAAACACGCCACCTCTTTCCCCGTTACAGTCACGCTCACAAACACACGCCATTTTGACTCCTCGTGAGAACCGACGCAGGAAACATAAAACACATCACTAATCAAATCACTGTCTTTGGATCTACACTGACTACCATACAAAATGTGTCCAACCGCCCTCCTATGGAGAAAGTAGAAATGTCGGCTGTGTAGAAACGCTCTTGCACACACTTCTGGGAAAGTTTCAGAACTCAGAAGTATCTGAAAATGTACTTTGCCATTAGAAAATGCTTAAAATTTGAAACGATGACTGAGGTGACGCCTGGTGAATTTCTGGAGTTAAAACACCAACATGCTGAAGCATGTATCAGGAGCACTGAATGAATGATCCCGCCAAACTAAAGTAACTGCAAAAAACCCTTCCAACAGAGTGATACGTCACACAGTCAAATACATGAAGAAACAGAAACACGCCACCTCTTTCCCCGTTACAGTCACGCTCACAATCACACGCCATTTTGACTCCTCGTGAGAACCGACGCAGGAAACATAAAACACATCACTAATCAAATCACTGTCTTTGGATCTACACTGACTACCATACAAAATGTGTCCAACCGCCCTCCTATGGAGAAAGTAGAAATGTCGGCTGTGTAGAAACGCTCTTGCACACACTTCTGGGAAAGTTTCAGAACTCAGAAGTATCTGAAAATGTACTTTGCCATTAGAAAATGCTTAAAATTTGAAACGATGACTGAGGTGACGCCTGGTGAATTTCTGGAGTTAAAACACCAACATGCTGAAGCATGTATCAGGAGCACTGAATGAATGATCCCGCCAAACTAAAGTAACTGCAAAAAACCCTTCTGTTTGTTCGCTCTTAAAAATAAAGGTTCCAAAAGTGAGTTTTCATAGCAATTCAATTTTAGGTTCCTCAAACAAAATTTATTTGAAAAGAGCCTTTTTTTCTTATTACTGTGGAAAATACGTAATGATATGTGAGACCCTGGACCACAAAACCAGTCATAAGGGTCAATTTTTGGAAATTGAGATTTATAAATAGTCTGAAAGCGGAATAAATAAGCTTTCCATTGATGTATGGTTTGTTATGATAGGACAATATTTGGTTGAGATACAACTATTTGAATATATGGAATCTGAGGTTGCAAAAAAATCAAAATACTGAGAAAATCGCCTTTAAAGTTGTCCAAATGAAGTTCTTAGCAATGCATATTACTAATCAAAAATTACGTTTTGATATATTTATGGTAGGAAATTTACAAAATATCTTCATGGAACATAATCTTTACTTAATATCCTAATGATTTTTGGCATAAAAGAAAAAATTTGACTCATTCAATGATTTTTTGGCTATTGCTACAAATATACCCCAGCGACTTAAGACTGGTTTTGTGCTCCAGGGTCACATATGAATAACCTTTTTCCAGAAATTGCTGAATATTTACTCACACTCAGGCTATCCAAGATGTAGATGAGTTTATTTCCTCATCAGAACAGATTTGGAGAAATTTAGCATTGAATAACTTGCTCACCAATGGTCTCTGCAGTGAATGGGTGCCGTCAGAATCAGTCCAAACAGCTGATAAAAACATCACAACAATCTATTGTGTTTTCAACTTTATAAA